TTATGTCTACTTAGGGCACCTTTTAGGAGTTAGGGTATATTCAACTAATTGTAAATAATTTTACAAATCTTAATAAAACAGAAAAAGTTTCGATTTCGATTCTCTAGGGTGAAATATTGATTCACTAGATCGATTCAGTACTATATATCGATATGACATTGACAGATGAAACGTCAAAAACGTAATTAATTAGTCATTTACCAATATTTTTAAAAAATAATTAAAAATACTTCGACGCTGCTCCGGCAGCAAAAATCGAGTGGGGGTGCTTCAGATAAACCCCCTTGACCCTCCCAATGTGACAGAATCTTCAAATTCAGGCGACTAAATTGTAAACCCAACCCCAATATAGATTACATGTAATTGAGTCATTTACTTTCACCATCAGTTCGGAAAAAACCTCTGCCCTGGGAAGAACGAGCAAGAAACACAGTGGGACTTTTTTTTAAAGTAAATTATACAATAAGAAGGGTTGTGCAAACAATTTTCTAAATTTATATTAGAAACAGCTTGAAAGCTGCGACCATCTCATTCCCAGGGGTTATCAACCATGTATTCACATAATATATTATAACCCTTTCTTTTTTTATTCAGTTTTTGTTTGATAAAATATTTAAACTTGGTAATAGTGAGAACTTGTATATTTGCTAGGATTTTGTTGTAATAGGGTATACATTGCCCCATTAATAAATTACTGACTCTATGGAGTTGAAAAACTGGTGTCTTAAGCTTGTGTTAGTTCCTATTGCATATTATTATGTGTTGCCATGTGGCAGTACAAGAGAATTCTCTACCCGATATTGTCCTGCGGTTGTTCTAAGAGGCGACAGAGGCAACTGAAACAGCAGGTGGTCAGCTGGATCTTCCTGACAACTGAAAATAATACTAAACTGTGGTTTCCAACTCCCCTGCCATGTGGACCTCTGAAAGATATACAGGCTTAGTTTTTGAAGTGTATCCAAGTTTTATACCTCAGTTCAAATCTATAAATAACTATCTTGCCACGCAGACGTTGTTCTGCCCTTTTCAATGACCCTTTGTCATGTCCTATTAAAAATCCTTAAATTTGCAAAAAAAAATTGTGGGTCACTCATGGGCAAAAAAAACTATCCTATCTCTCAAGTTGAATCAAACTGCACACGGTGTGCAAATTTGATTAAAATCGGTTTAGTAGTTTAGGACTCCATCACGGACAAACAATGTGACACGTAATTTATACATATTAAGATGATATACCATAACTGTAGTTTCTTTTGAAAATATATGTATATATGGCCTATGATTTTATTTGAAATTATCCCAAATTGAATGTTATTTCTGGGCAACAGCTACAAATGCATGCTCCTCTGTGTGTGATTCAAATTTCAATGTTTTTGAGTAAAACTATATATCAGGGATTGCAAACGGTTCCAAAATACCAGTATAGAACAGGTATTTAGGGGTTCCGCTACCTATACCGGAACAGGAACCAGAACCTAAATTGGAACCTTTATTTTACCAGTTCCTAAACAAAGAGAAATCAAGTCCTAACGCCCTAAAAAAGTCCTAAAAAAGTGCGGTCGGGTGGACGGCGGGATGCGGCGCGCGGCGGAGTTATTTTTTTTTTAAAACATTACCCCCAAACTAGGATTTTCTCCTGTATCGTGGAGACAGTTTACATACATAAATTGCATTAGGACTAACATCCAGACCCGGAACAATTACTTATTGGCCATACAAATACTTATTCCGTGTGAGGAGAGGGGGAGTTTGTAAAATATCACATCTGTAATGATGGATCTTCTGTTGCAATTCTATGTGGTAGAGCCACACTGCAGCTATATTATCGTTGTAGCATGAATAGGTCGGCTCGACCGGGGGACCACACTCTCACAGAATACTAACGTAAAATAGCAGCTTAAGGCTGCTGTGTTTCGTATGGTGAGTGTAGAGAACCGGAGACCCATTTTACTGGAATCGAGGCATTCCATCTTAGTCCTCAGGTGTGAAAACGCATCTGCATTTTGATTCTTAATCGAGTTTAAATGCAGATTTTTATAGGTCATAGCATTCACTTACCATCAGGTGGACTGTCTGCTCGTTTGTCACTCTTATTCTATAAAAAAATATATGTTTGTATTGATAAAATTATAGCTTTTAAATATCAATGCGCATACCATCCTATCGTGTTTGTATTGATAAAATTATAGCTTTTAAATATCAATGCGCATACCATCCTATCGTGTTTGTATTGATAAAATTATAGCTTTTAAATATCAATGCGCATATCATCCTATCGTGTTTGTATTGATAAAATTATAGCTTTTAAATATCAATGCGCATACCATCCTATCGTGTTTGTATTGATAAAATTATAGCTTTTATATATCAATGCGCATACCATCCTATCGTGTTTGTATTGATAAAATTATAGCTTTTAAATATCAATGCGCATATCATCCTATCGTGTTTGTATTGATAAAATTATAGCTTTTAAATATCAATGCGCATACCATCCTATCGTGTTTGTAATGATAAAATTATAGCTTTTAAATATCAATGCGCATACCATCCTATCGTGATTGTATTGACAAAATTATAGCTTTTAAATATCAATGCGCATACCATCCTATCGTGTTTGTATTGATAAAATTATAGCTTTTAAATATCAATGCGCATACCATCCTATCGTGTTTGTATTGATAAAATTATAGCTTTTAAATATCAATGCGCATACCATCCTATCGTGTTTGTATTGATAAAATTATAGCTTTTAAATATCAATGCGCATATCATCCTATCGTGTTTGTATTGATAAAATTATAGCTTTTAAATATCAATGCGCATACCATCCTATCGTGTTTGTATTGATAAAATTATAGCTTTTAAATATCAATGCGCATACCATCCTATCGTGTTTGTATTGATAAAATTATAGCTTTTAAATATCAATGCGCATACCATCCTATCGTGTTTGTATTGATAAAATTATAGCTTTTAAATATCAATGCGCATATCATCCTATCGTGTTTGTATTGATAAAATTATAGCTTTTAAATATCAATGCGCATACCATCCTATCGTGTTTGTATTGATAAAATTATAGCTTTTAAATATCAATGCGCATACCATCCTATCGTGTTTGTATTGATAAAATTATAGCTTTTAAATATCAATGCGCATACCATCCTATCGTGTTTGTAATGATAAAATTATAGCTTTTAAATATCAATGCGCATACCATCCTATCGTGTTTGTAATGATAAAATTATAGCTTTTAAATATCAATGCGCATACCATCCTATCGTGTTTCTATTGATAAAATTATAGCTTTTAAATATCAATGCGCATATCATCCTATCGTGTTTGTATTGATAAAATTATAGCTTTTAAATATCAATGCGCATACCATCCTATCGTGTTTGTAATGATAAAATTATAGCTTTTAAATATCAATGCGCATACCATCCTATCGTGATTGTATTGATAAAATTATAGCTTTTAAATATCAATGCGCATACCATCCTATCGTGTTTGTATTGATAAAATTATAGCTTTTAAATATCAATGCGCATACCATCCTATCGTGTTTGTATTGATAAAATTATAGCTTTTAAATATCAATGCGCATACCATCCTATCGTGTTTGTATTGATAAAATTATAGCTTTTAAATATCAATGCGCATATCATCCTATCGTGTTTGTATTGATAAAATTATAGCTTTTAAATATCAATGCGCATACCATCCTATCGTGTTTGTATTGATAAAATTATAGCTTTTAAATATCAATGCGCATACCATCCTATCGTGTTTGTATTGATAAAATTATAGCTTTTAAATATCAATGCGCATACCATCCTATCGTGTTTGTATTGATAAAATTATAGCTTTTAAATATCAATGCGCATACCATCCTATCGTGTTTGTATTGATAAAATTATAGCTTTTAAATATCAATGCGCATACCATCCTATCGTGTTTGTATTGATAAAATTATAGCTTTTAAATATCAATGCGCATACCATCCTATCGTGTTTGTATTGATAAAATTATAGCTTTTAAATATCAATGCGCATACCATCCTATCGTGTTTGTATTGATAAAATTATAGCTTTTAAATATCAATGCGCATACCATCCTATCGTGTTTGTATTGATAAAATTATAGCTTTTAAATATCAATGCGCATACCATCCTATCGTGTTTGTATTGATAAAATTATAGCTTTTAAATATCAATGCGCATACCATCCTATCGTGTTTGTATTGATAAAATTATAGCTTTTAAATATCAATGCGCATACCATCCTATCGTGTTTGTATTGATAAAATTATAGCTTTTAAATATCAATGCGCATACCATCCTATCGTGTTTGTATTGATAAAATTATAGCTTTTAAATATCAATGCGCATACCATTTTATCGTGTTTGTATTGATAAAATTATAGCCTTTAAATCATACATAGCTATTTGTATTTATTTGTTGCGTGTGTAAATAGTTGTAATATATTAGTGCAACAGAATAATTACAGTAATAGGTAAAATAACTAGCATAATAATTTATTTTAAGAAGAAGACGTTTTGTTACCATTATTATGAAAACTGACAATGAGCCGAAAGAAATCTAATTTCGTCTATAAATATTTTATATATGATGAACATTAAAAAAATTCCAGATGTACTGTCAATGACATGTACCTTTAAATCGGGTGACAAGGTATAATATAATCCGATTTAAAGGTTCTAGGAACCGGTATTTATTGTTATATTTGTAACACTAAATATTATTCTGATGACGATATAACTAAGTTGTGTATGATGCTCTTTATAATTTGTTTTATTTTCCTAGTAATGTGGAACTTAAATGTACACTTATAATTCCTGTGATGTTTGTCTGTTTGAGTATCATTTATTAGTTACAGGGAGGTTAAGTTCGTTTTTAGTCTTTTTAGCAATGTAATTATCTTTATTCTCTCTCAAACTTACATATTTTTATTTCAGCATTTATTGGATCTAAATATGGAGCAAGTATTGAAGCATGTTGCTCAGACTGTGGAGAAGCAGCTTGATAGCGAACTTGAGAGGTAATGCATAAGTAGTATTTAAGTTAACACTTTTGTATAGTTGTCATTAAAATATTTATTTTCAGCTTAGCATATATATTATATTAATAATTAGTTCATGTTCAGTTGAAAGCTTATATATTATAATACATATGAAACAGAAACAGAAATTTTTTTATTTAATTTATCATAAATAATATTTATTGAAAGTCACTCTTTTGTTTAATTACTAGAGATGGGCGCAATATTCGTTTCATATTCGCCGTAATTCAGCAACTTTACCGAACATTCGTTTGGGTGGTACTCAAAACATCCACTGTATTGAAATGTATGAATTGGATAATTCTATGTCTTTAAAATTTTACTGTTGAAAGTATATTTTATTTATAGGTTAAATCTACTTGTATCATCATCATCATCATCACAGCCCTTCACAAGTCCACTGCTGAACATAGGCCTCCCCCAAGTAATGCCACAAAGCACGGTCCTGAGCCACCTGCATCCATCGACTTCCTGCATATCTTACCAGGTCGTCACTCCATCTAGTGGGGGGTCGCCCTACACTACGCCTACCGGTACGAGGCTGCCACTCGAGAACCTTTCTTCCCCATCGGTTATCGGTTCTTCGAGCTATATGGCCGGCCCATTGCCACTTCAGCTTACTAATCCGTTGGGCTATGTCGGTCACTCTGGTTTTACTGCGGGTATCCTTATTTCTGAGTCTATCACGCAGAGAAACTCCGAGCATAGCCCTCTCCATAGCTCGCTGAGCGACCTTGAGCGTCCTCATACGGCCAGCAGTGAAGGACCACGTCTCTGATCCGTAAGTCATCACTGGCAACACGCACTGGTTGTACACTTTAGTTTTCAGAGATTGAGGTATACCTGACGAGAAGATGTGTCGTAATTTCCCGAAAGCTGCCCAGCCAAGTTGAATCCGTCGATTGACCTCTCGGTCGAAGTTGGACTTACCTAGTCGGACTATTTGTCCCAGGTAAACGTACTCGTCAACAACTTCGAGCATAGTGCTCCCAACAACTACCGGCATAGGTGTGACATGGATATTAAACATGATCTTTGTTTTGTCCATGTTCATCTTAAGACCTATCCGTTGGGAGGCACTATTGAGGTCATTGAGCATAGTGCTTAAGTCCTCCAGCGATTCTGCCATAAGGACTATATCGTCGGCAAATCGAAGGTGAGTGATGTACTCGCCATTGATGTTAATACCGTATCCTTTCCAGTCCAGTAGCTTGAAAACATACAACTACATACAAAAATATACAACAAGAAAAGATAGCAATCCTGTGTAAGTGTTGACCTGCAGTTCTGGAAATGTCAAGCGACTCTGACTTAAACAATGTGCTTACCTTCAGGTTGGACACACTGGACAGCAACGACCTTGAGGCCATCCGGCAGCAGCGCATCGCTGAGATGAAAAAGCGCGCACAACAGAAGCAAGAGTGGATCGCAAATGTTAGCTAGATTTTTTTGAAAAAGATTATTAACAATGCTATAAACATTACTGATATTCCCCTTAACTACTCGTGGTGAGCTTAAATTGCTTGTGTTACGAGTGGTTCACGCCAGTAGTCGAATGTCGGATTCGATCCCACGACCTTTTTGAGTTCGCGGTCCGCGCCCTGCCATTAGGCTACTGTCGTTTTTATTTAGCTGCTATTTCATGCTGGTATTCTGTGAGAGCGTGGTCCTACCTCGGTCGAGCCGATCCAAATGTGCTACAAGTATAGTATAGCTGCAGCGTGACTCTACCACAAATGACGTTTTGCTTGATTTGATTGTTTGGAATCAGTGTACCCACTAAATTAACATCCAATTAATTACTAATTCTTAATATCATTCTTAATGTCTCAAAAAGTCACTGCTCACCATGTACCTCCGCCATAGATTGCATCATAACTTAATATATATATAGTACCCGGTTGACCGAGCTTTGCTCGTTATTTTTCACTCGGTTTTTTTAATTCGTGTGTTTTGGAAATTATATTTCGATACAAATTACATACTGATGAAATATGAATAATATTTTTTGATCTTAGCGACATAATAGAAAAAACTGAACTGGTTATTTGAATAAAAAATCATGAGTGCAATTAGTTTAATTTAAATTTTTGTGTTTTTAAAAAATACTAAAAAAGGGCTCGAAAAATAGATTTTCTCAAAAAAGAAAGGAACTTGAAAAAAAAATTAAAAAAAGTCGGTCGGTCGGTCTGGGCTCGCACCATGGTATTACGATTTTGTGACCGCCCAACATATCAATTAAGCTATTTGTAATCATTAATAAACTGTCAAAATTTACCTTCTTATTCTAACGATATTGTAGCAGTTTTTCATTGCCTAAAAACACGGACAAAAAGACATTTTCTAAAAATAAATCCTAGCTAGATCGATTTATTGTCCCCGAAACTCCCTGCACACTATATTTTATGAAAATCGTTGGAGCCGTTTCCGAGATTCCGATTATATATATATATATATATACAGGGTGTTAGTGTAAACACCGTTGTCCTTGAAACCAGTGGTTTGGTTTCACTTATAGAATTTTTTTAGTCAAATCTCAATTTTTTCTTACAACTATTTCACCCTAGGCAAGTAGGGATATACCTACAGAATTCACAACAAAAAACTCAACATATCGTAGGTAGCGGCAGCGATTCGCGGTCAAGGCCAATGTAGTGATGGGTAACTCATCATTTTTATATGAGGTTGAGGGAGCACCTCGTTTTACCTCGCGAGGTCCTCACGAGGGACCCCTCATTTGAGGCGAGGTATCGTACGTCAGCGTATTCAATTCACCTCACGAGCCGAGCCCGAGCTCGAATCGAACTCAGCCGATTGTCCGAGGCAGCGGCAAGCGAGGCGGACGGGCGCGTCGACTCACGAGTACTCACGATTCCGATTTTTACGTCTCCCTCACACACGTTATTTCTTTCGCTCATGAATTCCGCCAAAATAAATGAATCAATGACACTTGAATAAAAATCTAATTCTTATGTTTTTAGAGTTCATAGTTAACGTTTAGAGATTCATATTAATAGCAGAAATAAAAATATTTTCTTTAATTCGTTTTGAGTAACTAATAATGTTACTTTACCTATGTTGACCTTGGAGGTGCACGTGTGGTGAAGTAATTGTTGATATTGTTGTGATTGTGAAAAACGCGTTTTTTTTAATACGATTATTTTTTTACTTTTTATCCTTGATCTCAATTAATACACTCAGTTTATTTGCTTCCTGTGTTTTATTTACCCTGCAACTCATTTCACACAATTTTTTGTATCTCTTCTTAATTTAAATAACATCCTACCAAACATCAGTATCACACACACATACACACACCAAACATCATTATTTCATTAAGTACATAACACAATCATAATGTTTAATGTTTTCAAAATTCCGATTCTTCACCTCACTCATTCTCTAATTTATTCTGTACTGTAAATATGGATTTCTAAGTCGGTTCATTCGCTCGCTAAGCTCACTCAATCGCGATGCTCGCGAGTCGCGAGTACTCGTGTCAATAATGTCTATGTCAATTTTTAAGTGAGGACGCGTGAACGAGTGAGGTGGTTCAATGTTGAAAATCGAGTAACTCTTTCAATTTGCGATCACGAGTACCTCAAACGAGGCACCTCATGAGTGAGGGGCACATCTCTAGGCCAATGTCACTGTGTCAGTGTGTCACAGTCCTTCGCTGCGTCGGTACGGAATGTACGTGTTAATTTGATTTAAAACCGCGCCGCGCAGTGCCGACATTCTACGTCGCTTTAGGTTGTAGTTTTGGTGCGAGTGTATTTAATTTGTAATTATGTCCTACATAAACGTGCAGTGGAAATGTGCCTCTTCGTTCACTGAGAAACCTCTACTACCAACATGACGGTGTCCCTGCACATTTTCAGCTGCAAATCAGGGCTATTCTGGTTGAGGAGTTTCCTGGGCGATGAACCGACCTTACCCCGCTGGACTTTTATCTTTGGGGAGAAGTGAAGCGCCGAGTGTATGCAACTAAGTTCCGTAATACGTCCGAACTAAAAAGGCGAATTCTTAGTGTATTTAGAGAAATGACACTGTTGTGCTTCTAGCTTTTACGATTAATGTAAAAGTTGATCAAAATGGAATTCATTTACGAGGATTTTACGCCAGAAATCCTACCTAATTATTTACTATTTACTATTATTAATGTTTAATTTTCTTTGTTAAATCTAACTTACATTAATTTGGACTCGTCACGCAACACAAAAGGTAGGAATTTTTATCTGTCCTAAGCAAGTGTGAAAGTATGAAGGAAAAGTTTCATGATAGGTTATGTGTACCATTGTGTTTATATTGAAATGTTGTGTAGGTAGCAAGGGCGGGCGGTGATCTTTACAGTGATTACGTCACTCGAGCGCATAGGGTATCCATGAATTTACGGACGGTGTCGGACAGAAACTTTTTTAATTTTATAAAAGAAAATAGCGTTTTTTAAAAAAAAATCGGATAAATATTTTTATATTAAAGCCAACCACCTATGGTTTCAGTGACAACGGTGTTTACACTTACACACTGTATATATATATATGTTAGATATATATATATATATATATTATTATATGTATATAACATGTACATATATATATATATATATATATATATATATATATATATATGTATATAACATGTAACATAATTTTAATATAGGTAATTTTTTATCCCAAAATCAGTAAAACTATGTAAATTACAGTCACACTAAATCTGTACAGTCAAAACAAACTGAAATGGATCGTAACATAAGGCAATAAGATTTTTAAGAGTGCAGTTTTATTTGTATTATTACTAATTCTGTAATTCAATAAAAATAAAGAAAAATGAACCATATTTCAAGCACGTTAGTCTTTGCGTTCGTGGATTTGTACTGTGACCACAACATTCTTCCGGGATTAGTATAATTAATTTGATAAATAATCAGTGCATAAAAATGCTTAACTAAAAATTCAGTGTATGTATTATGATTATAACATAATATACTAATTGGGGTGTCTGAGGGTGGGCGTTAATTATGTTACTTATTGTGTATATATATATATATATATATATATATATATATATATATATATATATATATATATATATATATATAGTAATAAAAAATAATAAATATATTTGCCATTGTTGCCACACTTGGCAACCACAGATTTTATTTTTATTCAGCTGCTATCATGAATATACTTACTATTGTTTATCTGGTTCAGCTTAATTAATATAATAATGAGTTAATTATGAATTATGAGAATTAATATAATAATGAGTCTCAGTGACTCTTTTGATTTTAAATTATATTGCTGTGATGGCCCTCTTTTGTAAAATAAATATAATTTCAGTGTCAGTCGCAATAGCAAAATACCATACGACATAATGCTATGGAAATAACTAAAGTAAACTATTCTAGCTGTTTCAACACTGGTAAGAGTTCTAATCTTTTTCACAGCATATGCTGCAGAACTAAGTCTGCTTGCTAGTTTTGATATATGGGGGAGCCAATGAAGCTTTGCGTCTAGTGTGATTCCAAGAAAAATGGTGGTATCAACAAGACTCAGTTCTTTCCCATTTAAAATTACATTAGTATTAGTGTTTGACATTGGGTGATACGAATTTCATAAATTTAGTTTTAGTGCAATTGAAATGCAAATTATTAACATTAAACTAATTGACTAACTTAGCTATAGCATTATTTACTTCGTCGATTTTATTTTTTCGTCGTAATTATTGTTTACCCATTCATAACATCCTATGGACCTCTGCCATAGATGCTAGCCTATATTATAGCCCAAATTTTCTGCTTAAATGTATGTTCTAATAAAATCTAACCAAATCTTCTTAATAACGGGAAAGATACTTTACTCGCATATAATCGTGTAACTCTCCGAGCATTCTCTATAGGGCCACGGCGAATACACTGAGATAGACGGGGAAAAGGAATTCTTTGTTGTGTGCAACAAGAGCGATAACGTGGTGTGCCACTTCTACCGCGCGGACACACCTCGCTGCCGGATCGTGGATATGCACCTGAAGATGCTGGCCAAGAAGCACGTGGAGACCAGGTTCGTCAAGCTGGATGTTGAACGTGCACCATTTCTGACTAGTGAGTGTTACTCTGTTTGTTTTGTTAAACGTTATTGTATTCTTTCTTTTATTTCACTAGGATTTTCTGCTGTATTGCGGAGGAGGTTTACAAACATAAATTGCACAAGGATAAACATCTAGACTCGGAACAATTATTTATACGCTATAAAAATACTGTTTTGTGTGGGATTCGAACCCGCGACAACGTAATTTCTTATATTTACGCGAACACTACACATTTAAATAAAACTATTTTTTTTATGAATTTTATTGCAACTTGTCCCGTATCGGGACAGTTCGGGAAAAGTGCAAAACCAGCAGTCAATAAGAAGAAGAAAGAAAAAGTATAGGGAAGTGATAGGGAAAAGTAATTACTCTCTCACGGAACAGTTTGAAGATAATTGCTGTTTTATTCCCAAGGAATTCTCCCCTTAAAGTGATACAGTCCATATCGAAGAATTAAGGCGTTGGGACCGGACGACTTCGGAAGACCCGTAATCCCCGCCTGAACCTATTTTCTGAAAAGGAAGAGGTTATCGCCCTTGTGTGTTACTCTGTTGCGGAGATCACATACGTTGTTCCCGAACCCAACGTAGGCGTTGTAGGAGGCCGGATCGAGAGAAGCCTCGATTCCCCCCTTCTGTTTCTTAGTTTAACGTTTGTCTGGTTCCTTTTCAAGTGGACCACTTGTGAGAGAGTAATTACTTTTTCCTATCACTTCCCTGTACTTTTTCTTTCTTCTTCTTATTGACTGCTGGTCTTGCACTTTTCCCGAACGATTTGCAAGAAAAAATCAATTTACTGAACTACCTCGAAGCTAAACGCGAAAGTGAGCCGCGCCATTTGTGCGCTTGCGCAACTCAATTACATCAATTTGTACTATCACTCTCTCACGGTTTGCTCAATAACTTTATTTGTATAAGACATACATTTATACAATTTACTTATAAAGATAGCACAAAAAATATCTATACTACGATATACATTACATTTTCATATCACAAAAAACCCTTTATTTATTTAACAAAATATTGTTGCATGAATAAGTCAACTAGCGCCATCTAGTGTCAGGAACGGGAGCGAGGGGAGCATTGAGAGAGTGGCGTCACAAATCACTCAACTGACAGCGCCTAGTCGAAACTCGAACGCTCGGTACTTTGCCCGTGTTTACTTGAACATTCTGGATATTTCTTTGCTAATTTAAATATATAGGCGCTGCAAGATGCGATCGAGGCAGAGTGAACTCGGCGACACAAGCGAAGCTTCGGAGTGGAATTAAGTGAATTAGTGTGTTTAAATTATTAGTGTTTTAACTTTAATTGTGTAAAGTAAATTAAAGTGTTAATTTAGGTAATTTTATCGGCAATTTTTGTTGTCACGAACCTCAAGCTCGTAACAATTGGTGTCAGAAGTGGGATAAAATCATGCCGATTTTACCTAAGGAGGAAACGGAGGGTGTCCGTACCCGAAGTCAACGCCAGCAGGAGACGGACCAAAGAAGATTTGGTGGTGCAACGCCGCAGACGTCGGAGGGCCAGCCACCGGCTGAAGGCCCGTCGGTAGCTCCTACATCTGCAGCACCTGACTTAGGTGCTCTGATGGTGATGCTGCAGGAGCAGGCCCGCCGATTGGAAGAGCAGCTGCGGGGCGGACAGGAGGAACAGGCCCGCCGACAGGAGGAACAGGCCCGTCGTTTAGAAGAGCAACTCCAACGCGATAAGGAAGAGCAGATGCTCCTCATGAAGGATCTTCACGCTATCTTCGGAAAAGAGATACGGGAGGTGAAGGATAAGGTTGCTCAACATGACAACCGCCTGTCGGAGGCCGAAACCCGAATCGACCAAGTAAACAATCGGGTTGACAACGTAATGGCTGACGTGAAGAAAACGCTGGACGACCTCAAACTTGGGGATGGAACAACAGCTCCCGTAGTAGCTACAACACCTTCGCTACGTGGATTCAAAGTGCCGCCGTTCGACGGTACCTCTTCCTGGTCAGCCTACAAGATCCAGTTCGAGGCTGTTATGAAGGCGAACGGCTGGAATGAAAGTCAGGCCATGACTGCTCTCACACTAGGCCTGCGCGACCAGGCCTTAACAGTTCTGGAAGCTCTCGGTAAGAAAGTGACCTACGAGCAGCTCCTTGAGGCATTGGAGGCGAGATATGGCGACGCTCACCTGGAACACGTCTTTCGTGCGCAGCTTAAAGATCGTGTGCAGCGCATCAACGAAAACCTGCAGCAGTGGGCTCTAGAAGTGGAGAAGCTGGTGCGAAAAGCATACCGGTCTGTACCTGCGCTCATTGAAGGGAACCTGGTGCAGACATTCATCGACGGCATCCGCGACCTGGAAGTCAGAGCTGCTGTGAGGCTCGGGCACCACGAGACGCTTAAGGACGCCTTGGCCCATGCACTGGAAGTGGAAGCCGTGCGGCAGGATCATCGTTCCCATCGCGTCAGGGAGGTTGCAGCAGCTACAGTTCGCGACCGCAACAAAGGATACAGCCCAAGGTGCTATGGCTGTGGGGAAAAGGGCCATCTTCGATCCAGCTGCCCTAAGCGAACCCTAGAAAGGGAAATTGAACGATCTCAGGAGGGTAGTGCGGCCAACAGCGCCGCCCAGCAGCAGCAGGGAAACGAGTAAAAGCCAGAACTGCGGGGCGGGTGCTGGCTGATGTTAAAAGAGCCCCAAGGATCTCGATCTCACAAACCCATGATGGCAACAGTCTAATCATAAAGGGCGAGATCAACGGAATGCCGTGTAAGCTGACCATAGACACTGGAGCCTCTCGTACGGTTGTTAGTTCCCAACTTATAAGTCAGTTCCTTGGGGACTCCGCATACAACCGAGAACGCATTAATTTGGTAACAGCCACCGGTCAGCGTATACCCGTCCGTGGAGAGAAGGAGATGGTGTTAAAGCTAGGCAACGTGATCTACCTGCATAATGTCATCGTGGCTGATATAATGGACGACTGCATCCTGGGCTTAGACTTTATGAGGAATAATTGTTGCGAGATCGACGTTAAGCAAGGTGTTTTGAAATGTGGACAGGTGGAACTTTTTATGGAAGGTGCGTTACCAGGGAACGTGTACAGCATCAAGAAGATTGTTCTTCCGCCGAGATCGGAAACGATTGTTTCGGTTAGTCTTCCTCGAAACGCTGGGCAAGCTCACCGTTGTGTACTTGTGGAAAGGGTAAACAATAACCTTCCATGGAAAGTAGCTCGAACCTTGGTCAGGACCACTGACATCTCAGGAGTACGTGTGCTGAACCTTTGCGACCGAGAACAGGTTATAGAAAAAGGTACACTGGTTGGTACTTGTGAGGAAGTGGATTGGTTACGTCAGTGCCAATATATATCGAGTGGGACCCCCAGCAAGGATTCAGAAACGAGAGTGACCACACTTTTGGAAGACTGTCGCAGTGTTCTGTCCCCGAACGAATTGGTGAAGGCGAAGAAGTTGTTACTCGAGTACGCCGATGTATTCTCATCAAACGATGCTGACATAGGAAAGACTGGTTTAGTTCAACACAAAATAAACACAGGTGAAGAGTTGCCTATCCGTCAGCGGCCAAGACGATTGCCGGTAGCACGTGAAAAGGAAGTGGAAACCATGATTGAGGGAATGGTGAGGGATGGTGTTATTGAACCTTCATCTAGTCCATGGTGTTCACCCGTGGTACTGGTAAAGAAGAAGGATGGTAGCTTGCGGTTTTGTGTTGACTACCGCCGTCTAAACGACGTTACTAAGAAGGATAGCTATCCCTTGCCGAGAATTGACGACACGCTGGACATGCTTACAGGAGTAAAGTGGTTTAGCACGCTGGACCTAAAAAGTGGCTACTGGCAAGTTGAAATTGACCCTAAGGACAAGGAGAAAACTGCGTTCTCGACGGGAAAGGGTCTGTGGCAATTTAAAGTAATGCCGTTTGGGTTGTGCAATGCTCCAGCAACGTTTGAAAGGCTGATGGAACTTGTACTTACCGGGCTAATTGGCGATGCCTGTCTGGTCTACTTGGATGACATCATCATCGTGGGCCGTACGGTTGAGGAACACCTTCAAAACCTGGAACGCGTGCTCATGAAGATTAAGAGTGCCAACCTTAAGTTGAGTCCGAAGAAATGTTCACTATTCAAACGGCAAGTCAACTTTTTGGGGTATGTAGTGTCGGAAGAAGGTATCCGCACGGATCCAGAGAAAATCGCAGCTGTAAAGGATTGGCCGGTTCCAAAAGACAAGACGCAGGTTAGAGCATTTTTGGGTTTGTGCTCCTATTACCGACGTTTTGTGAAGAACTTTGCAGATATAGCCAAACCTCTGCATAAGCTAACCGGGGAGAAGCGACATTTCTGCTGGGATGAAAGTTGTAACATCGCATTCCAGGAGCTCAAGGACCGTCTGTGCAAAACACCTATTTTGGGATACCCTGATGCAAGCAAAGAATTTATAGTTGACACAGACGCAAGTGATATAGGACTTGGCGGTGTGTTGTCTCAACGTAATGGTGACCAAGAGGTCGTGATAGCGTACTTCAGCAAGTCGTTGTCAAAACCGGAAAGGAACTACTGTGTCACAAGACGCGAATTGCTAGCTGTGGTAAAGTCGTTGCAGCATTTTAGCAAATATCTTCTGGGGCGAAAATTTCACTTACGAACTGACCATGCTGCACTAAAATGGCTATTGCAGTTTAAAAACCCAGAAGGACAAGTTGCGAGGTGGATTGAACTACTGCAGGAATACGACTTTGAGATCGAACATCGCAGCGGGAAATCTCATGGCAACGCAGATGCATTGTCAAGAAGACCTTGTCCTGAAGATTGCAAACATTGTACTAGGCAAGAGAGTAAGGAAGTGGTATCCGTGAGGATGCTCAGGGCAGACCACCTCAGCAACGAGTGGAAGGACAGCTTACTACATGCACAGCAGGAAGATCCGGACATCAAGCCGATTCTGGAATGGATAAAGGCCAGTGCTCCCAAGCCCAAGTGGAGTGACGTCTCAGCGATGAGTTCGAC